GAGAGAGATGTTCTGCCAGGCGGACGCCCTCGGCGACGAATGCGTGGAGAATCGGATGACTCGGTCTAATTTTCACCCTCGCGCACAGACTGACCGTTGCTCTGGTTCGACTAAGCCCCAATTACAACACTTCCGGTCGAGCTCTATCCTCACTGTCATAATCACCACACACACACACACCCTATCCCTTTAGTCTGCCTAATCCCTGCAGGATTCCTTGTCATATTTTGGGAGCGTCAACCAACTATCTGCATAATGTAGGTGGTGGCGGTGGCGATGCACGAATCTTGGCGACGCCATTTACCAAAATTGCGGAGCTGCACGTTTGCGCACTCGTTGGCTGAAATTGATACTTTCACTAGGGAGGGATGCAGGGAGAGGTTACTTATGTCTCCTAGATCATTAGGATTTGAGGCAACCAATGGGAGTGCTTGGACCTGATGCCCGAATAAGATGGCTTTGTTTGGTAAGCTCGGTTTACCGCCTAGTTCGTTTTTACAAAAGAGGCTACAGAGTCAGTTTCCTTTGGTTGAAATGGACATATTCATACCAGAACATAAGAGCTTATGCGAACTTCGCGAGGCACTTAAGGCGCCTTTTTTCAACATTCCGTGGAAGACTAGCCAGCACTAGTGATAAACGGTTGGGCGCTTTTTGTGAGAGGAATAGTTTTAGATCGACTGTGACGAGTGAAATTATGGTAAAAATTGCATTCTGAGACCGACCTAATTTTCAGTCAATTTTTACTGCCCGGGCAGCCTGGAACCATCACGGGAAGACGACCTCTTTCTAAGATGTATGTTCCCTAAGTACTGCCTGGGATGTAAGCCTTCTGGAGGGAGCGGAGAAAGATTTCCTATCTTTGCTACTATGTGCGCATTCGAGTAAACGTTTGCAGTCGTGGAAGAATACGTAATCGGAGCCTAAGAAACAGACAGTTAGCATGCAGTACTTATAATATTTTTCAAAACAGAGCTCATAAGACCCAGAAGAGAGAACAAATTAGATATTCACAATATTTCAGACTATTCAAGTTAGCAGTCATCAGTACCAAGGTGCGCCTTCCACTGGTCGCGAATTCAGCTCAAAAACGCTTTGTCTTCCCAACGTTTACGGATAATATGATCGACTTAGCAACCTCATTTAATAGCCACACCACATTTTACAGGCTTGCTCAAGTTGACATTAGAAGTGGGATAGTGTTAACGTATCCGAAGCCCGTCGGAAGGCGCCCGGAGACGATTTAAACACCGCCAAAACTGGATCGCATTCCTCCAAGAGTCTGGTCAATGACGGCGTGAAAATATCATATCCCGAAATGAATATCTAAAGGTTAGGATAGACTGGTATGGACCAGAACCCGCGAATGCTGGGACAGTCAGTACGGTAGGTGGATTAACTCTTGAAATGTCAAACGAAAGTTTGAAATACGTTTTCTTTTCGAAAACATTGATTAAGTAGGGTTGTAAAACAAATCATCATGTAGCGTAATTCTATAATAATTCAGTTACCCCAGGATACCGGCTTTCAAATAAACTTCTTTCCGGCTGCATGCAAAAACTATACTCTTCAAAAAATGACTACTTAAGGAGCATGTCTTTTTCTCATTGATTTTCGATGCTTCTAAACATTCAGTTATATTTCGTGGAAAGCAGGCATAAAAATATTCATCTATTCATTCGGTAGAAAGTTACGTCTTCTTTGAATTTGATATTCGAAGGAAGGGTATAGCTTGGTTTTAAAAAGTTTCTAATTGTGAGATTTTTTTGATACCGTAAAATGCCCGTTCATAAAACGTCATGTCTCTGCTTGAAAGGTTAACAGTATAACTCAAATCTGCTGCTAAATTTTATGAACTCCATATGGTCTCCTTCTGATACCGTAGAGAAATGTATGGTTTTCCGTACGCGGAAAATATACGGCTTATAGTTTGGAAGCTCTGAATACAAGGGTAACGGCAGGCTGGGGTTCGAAATTATTCGGGAATTGGTAAAGTTTTTGAAAACCGAATTATACCATTCTTTCGAGTATAAAATTGGAAGAAGGCGTAATCTTCTACCGAATGAGCAAGGGAATGGATACTTTTATGCATGCTTTCCATGAAATATAACTGAATATTTGAGGGCATCGAAAATCAGTGAGAAAAATACATGCTCCTTAAGTAGTCATTTTCTGCTGAGTATAATGTTTATATGCAGTAGGAAAGAAGTTCCTTCAGAAGCCGGCATCCTGAGGTAACTGAATTATTATAGAACTATGCTGTATAATGTTGAGTTTTACAACCCTACCTAATAAGTCCTTTCGAGACGAAAACGCATTTCGGAATTACGGTTGACATTTCTTGAGTTAGCCAACCTACAGTATGTTTGACTTTTGGGCGGGACTGACCTATGTGGACGTCCAAACAATACATGAGAACAGGACCCGCCTGCAATACTACTGGCTTTGAGTCAACTGCCAAGGAAATAAAGGTTAGATTTAGGGTTAGGGTTAGCGTCAATATTTGGGCAAAAGTTTGGTTTTATACTAGGGTTACTGTGGGTGTTAGGAAACAAGACTATTTTGTCCTCTCCGGAATTATGCGCAGGTGCGCCTTTATTATCTGGGCGGGGCGTACCTATTCCCACGTCCTGTGTAGGGGCCACATAATTCAGGTCTACCGACTTGTCACGCGCCGCCTAGTTCCATTATCCGCCAGACAGACTCTGAATGGACTCGCAAAAGCCCAGTAGGTGAAGGCGACAGACCTCGGTCGGTATCATCCTTGGCGACATTCAAGAGTACGCCGTAGTGTACTTAATCAACCGGTGCATTCACGCCCATTTCTGAATCCGGCTCGTTCGGTCTCTCCCGAGAGCGAAACGCGTTTTCTAACCGCCTGAGAATGACACTGGGATGAGGCCTTTAGAGCAACGCCAGTGAGGCCTATGCAGCGTTGCTTGTTGCACTTTGTCAAGGTCCAGTCATACGGAGAGAGCTTAGCCTCCACACTCGCTTAATCACTTCAGGGTGCCAGGGCGCCAGTATTAACAAAAAACCCGCAGACCTCAACGGAGGCGCCGTCCTTTCCAGCCGCCTTGGCGACGAGTAGTCTTTGGCCTAGACTCTATGGACGGCATTCGTGAATTCTTCCCGGAATGCAGAGTCAAGTGACATAAAATAGGCCGGACAGGAATAAAACTGTATGTTATTACCGACAAAGACAAGGGAGACTGGAATGGCCATTTCTGGCTTAGTAGCAGTCGTCAGCCAGTCATACCCAACCCCGAAGTGTGGAACACCCGAGGCTCGAATTCGCGACCTGTTAGTTAGAAGTCCACGCCTCTAATCACTGAGTCAGGAGCCCGTTGCCCTGTCGCTTTGGATCGGGAATATAGAGTGGTAGGGGGCGCTCACCGATCGTTCTTACGGAACTCACTCGTTCCGTTGTGCCTTACGGGCACGGAATAAAACTCAGTTTCAGGGTGTGGAGGGGGGGGGGGTGTGCGGATCGGCCATTGAATTGTTCACGCCAGCACTCGACCTCAGCGGAGATGTCAGAAATAAAGTCACCAATCACCTCGTGAACAGAGATAGCCACGACTGCATACCCACCGTTAACCTGGCTAGCTTCACCGCCATCCTGAGGTCTGCTCTATACAGGTGTTCCCTTCAGCACAATAACTTTTACTGCCATCTCTAGCCTCTTCTTCGTGATTTTCTGGAGTTGCCAAAAGGGACCTTAACCGTCGCGGCGCCTGACTGGAATTATCTGGTCAGAATTGTCAGATCTTGCCTTGTTTAATTTCCGAGGAAACTAATGCTCGAACTTGGAGCAAAACTTTCGAAACGGACGTTTTCAAGCAGATTCCAAAGTTTGGAAGATTTGCTCCGAGTCCGCGCATTAGTTTCCCCAGAAATTAAACAAGGCAAGTTGAGACTGGAGTTTATATACCAGCAAACACAGGGGGAAAGCTGGGGGACCCACTGACCAGCCGAACCCCTCGCAACTGCGCCAGGCAGCGGCATAAGATCGACGAAACACGCGTGTCTGGGCTTTTAGCTATTACCTGTGTTGTCAGTACGGTAGATCATTGCACAATACTGCCAGATCTTTCAGCCGATTCATTGACTACAGTGCGGTTGGACTGAAGGCTTCAGTGATAACCATTTTCTACTCATTCCTACTTCAACTCCAACTGCAAGGCCATACCGAGTTTCTGTGTTCAGCGCCTCGACTGTGCTTGGTTGTCTTCATTTTACAGCACTGAGGCCTCGTGCACGTGACAAGGGGGGAGCGGATGAGAAATGAACTTGTGATGCGTGCGAACAAGAGCATGGTGCGAATGCTAGATGCTGTCAGCTTTAGGCCAAAAGTCGATCTGTTATAATGAACACAAAACAGTTAGGTTACTCTGGTTGGATGTGCGACCGTCCTCTGAAAATCTGGTCGGCATACATTTGCAACGATGTTGGAAACTACTAGTCGGTTTTAGTTAACAATGCTCGGCATGCTTCCATTACTGTCATTCATAGAACCATGCTGAAATCGATCAGTAATGCGACTGTTTAAAAAACCACATTCCTCAGTTAGGCCATTCCAGCCGGCGGCGGCAGTCGGGAGCCGCGAGCAGAATGTTCCTATATCGCGCTGACAATGCTGCGTACCTGGAGATGACGGCAACGTCGGCAAAGTCTCCGTAAGCCTGCTTCCCCAAGCAATGAATGCATGGCCCATCTGTTAGTAAGGGGCAACCGTCACACTGTGTATCACAGGTAGGTCTTGTGAGCCACTGTGATATGGGTCAGGTGGGAGTTGCCCCACCCCGAACCTTGACTTATCGTAAGTTTGAGTCGATTCGGACTACGGGATAGAAGCAAACATCCATGCCAAAATTGCCATATACAGCCTCGTTTGACCCTCGAAGACAACGTAAACTGACTCTGAGTAGCATCCATGCACCGAGGAAGCGTGGACGCACAGCTTTACACTCCACAGGCACAGGGGACCCATTGGAGTGCCTCAGACCAGACGTAGAACTATAACGCCAATCATACCGACGACTATCTTAACAAGTGGTAGAAACTGCTACAACAATGCTGTCATAATTCTGCCCGTTTGGCAGAAAATTGACTCCGAGACCTGCGAGGCTCTGAAGTCCATCAAGATGATGGATATTGCTCCTTACTGTGTGTCATCGCTTGCTCATATGCAAGACTGACTGGAGTTTCTGTCTTCGTAGAGCTAACGGATTCAGCGAACTCGTTGACGCGAGCCATATCGTATTGTATGTTTTCAAGGCTGGCCACAAACAGGGCACACTGACGCAAATCGGACATCATCAGAGCCGCGAATAGCGTCCCAACTAAGGTCCAGTCAACTGCGTTGTTAAATAGAATGGGTGGTGACGCACAGACTTGTTGAAAGCCAGGCCGAATCTCGAGCGTGAAAATACTTAAATAACCTATCCCCCCAATTGTGCTTTTGAATTGAGCTAATGGCCAGTGAAAGGATAGATCACATGCCAGCAGTGTGAGGCTGAGGTTTGAGCATGTCAAACTGATAATTTAATTAGAGGAATACTTGGCCAATAGAAGCGAAGAGACAAGTTCCAGGGGGCAGTCTTGAAGAAGGAGACACGATCGCTGGGGCAAGAGCTCTATTAGCCTTACGCTTCGGATTCCTGCTCGAACCCATCATCAGAAACAACAGCAGGTACGGGTGGTTCATGCACAAGAGGCTGCAGTATTTATGGGATGCACGGCTAGATCCCAGTTGGTAGCCCGGACCCGCATTACAGGTGGCTGGGAGGTTTGTTTACTGGGGTTATGTTGTGGGGCTCCATAATCACATCTGACACATTTGGCTTCCGTTTTACGTTTGAGGTTAGGATAAGGGTACCGGTTAATGGTTTCCGATTTTCCGGTTAGGGTTATGCCTTCAGGTTTAGGTTTTCGGGTTATGGTTAGGGTTTGAGCGTACGAATAGGTTTCAGTATTACGGTTAGGCTTCTTAGTTACATCTATGTCTAAGGGCTGCGATTACATTTACGATTTTGGTTAAGATTAGGGTTAGGGTTGCCGTTAGTGTTAACGGTTAACGGTAACGATTGAGGTTATGGTTAGGGTTAAGGTTGGGATTAGGGTTAAGGTAGCCGTCCGCTTCCCATTCCAGGCTACCAATTGCGATCTTGCCGGATGCAGTCGTCATGCTACCGCATACCTATGAATAATCACGGCTCCCCCGTCCCCCTTCACCAGGGATCGTTACACTTGGTGTGCTGGCCATTTGATGACCGACGTTCGCGTCGTTAATTGCTGCAATCTCATCACGTGCGTTGGATGTTGGTGTGATGAGTGTTCGGCCATCTGACCCACTGCTCCTGGCGTTGGAAAAAGTGGTCCCCTGTACGCTTCCCGTGTGGCTAATTACTCCGCCTAGGCGAAGTATCAGCGCCGAGTATGGGAGGGGAAGGTCATTGCACTTGTTAATGGGCTGGGGGCCAGTAAACCATGATTCAAGTAGCTCCCTACTCACGCAGTTGTCACCTCTAGCGAGAATTTCGGCCTCGTCGAATTTGAATGTGTGGCCGGATCTTGTCGAATGAGCCGCAACTTGAGAGCTGGCGTCATTCCTCCGCACCGCTGCAGCGTGCTCGGCCACTCACGTTCGGAGCTGTCATCCGGTTTCTCCGACGTAAGTGCTTTGTCCGCAACTGCACCAGATCCGATAAATAAATACCCGATGTTTCTTGCTGTAGCAGGGGGTCGTTCGGTTTCATTACTTGACGCCTGATAGTTGCCTCTGGTCTTTGTGCAACTCCAACCCCAAGTGGTGCGGGAAGGCGGCCGACAGCTTCCGAAAAATTCTCGACATACGGAAGCGCTCGCCGACGTTTGGTGCCCATGCGGTTAGGCCTTTCGTCCCTTTTGCGTATGCACCGGTTGACGAAGTTTCGCGGGTAGACATTGACTTTGAAGACCCGTCGGAGGTATTGTAGTTCGGCAATCTTGTCTTCCGGCTCATTGCAGTGCGCGTCGACACACCGATAGAGTGTCCTTACACAACTGCGTTTGTGGCTGATTGGGTGGTTGCTGTTGAGATTTATTAGCCTGACGTTTCGAATTCCCGCTCGAATCCCAGCGATCATGTCTCCTTCTTCTAGAACAGTACGCTTCGTTTGACATCACAATCATGTTTTTCAGCCAATGGGTCACACACTCCGCGAATAACTGGAACGGAGGCAAGAAGGCGACAACAGTAGGGATTAGACGGATATTCGTCACGGAGAGTGCAGGATTATAAGGGTGTTCGACATATTTCGTCAATTAATGAGAACTGGACATAAACAATGGATGAAAAGTCAAAGTGTCCAAACGCCCGCCTATTCAGGTTGACTGCTGGTGCAAACATGGGCATGTAGTGTTGGAGGATAGGCAACTGTGCCATGGCCATCCTATTACTGAGAAAGTCCATCGGTTTTTTCATTCATCATCATCATCGTCATCATCATCATCATCATCATCATCATCATCATCATCATCATCATCATCATCATCATCATCATCATCATCATCATCATCATCATCATCATCATCATCATCATCATCATCATCATCATCATCATCATCATCATCATCATCATCATCGTCGTCGTCATCATCATCATCATCATCATCCTCAGCAACATCATCATCATCAACCTCAGCAACAACAACAGCAGCAGCAGCAGCAGCAGCGACAACAACAACAACACCATCATTAGTATGAATGACTGACGAAGTTCCCGTCCCCCTCCACCAAATGGAATGTGTCGTCATTGCGATACGCTAAACGTGTGGCTACATCGGTTTTGAAGGGTTGCACGTAGACTCACTCATTCTTTTAGCTGCTGCCCATAATCAACTGCTTTTATACGATCACTGGCAATCGCCATGTGACTTATGATTTTTCACTCAAGGCTATTTGACCTGTCCCTTTAATGATTATAGCCTCCAAAATTTACGGAATGCTGAGCCTCAAATGTCTTGGAGTCAAGTTGCTGCCAAACGGGCGGAATGAGGGCAGCAAGTTGGGCGTGCAAGGTTTTCACAAGCATTCTTCCACCTCTATGAACTCAACGCGACATCTCAGTCGCCATGAAGATCCAAACATTCGTTCGACTTGTCCCCTTTTCCGATGCAAACCAAAGCTCTGTGTGTGTGAAGGCTAAGCATAAGCTGGAGGTTCTTAACCGCTGACGCCTGAAGTCAACTACTAGGATGAAGTACACTCAATTACCTTATTGAGAAACTGTGTGGAATCGGTGCGACAAATGAGCATGGACGTCTCTGACCACGTCCCAAGAAGACAACTAACATTGCGCGAACACGTTCTCCAAATCTTGTCCTAGGGGTCCGGTTTTACATGCCTTAATTTGATACTGACGCATAAGCTGGGGGCACCGAACAGGTGGTCGGCCCAAAATCTGGTCCGAAGTAGTTCGTGAAGTCGTAAGGGCGATTCTGGGATCTACGGCATTCGGAGTGGATCGAGCTTTCCAGGTCCACAATCGTAGATTATCGGTCGTGGACAGGAAATTTCCGTGTTTCCTGCGAGGCCATATAATCTAGGGATGATCAAAGCCTTTTAGCGTAAAAATGAGCAAATTTCCCAACAGTTTTCGATGACGATACGAAGCTCCAGACTTTTTCTAGAGAAGGCATCACGTAAACATGCATGGATCGTAAAGCCAATTTTTTGCAAAATCACTTCTGATCGGGAAATTGGTTGGGCGCGGAGACATGGAACCCCAAATTACGGGTTAAATTCCATAAAGGTTAGGGTTGTACTTAAAGTTAGGACCCAGGAATAACTAGCCCCCCTGGGATTTAGAGTAAGACAATCTTACGCCCCTGAACAAATACAAACTGGCATAAAAGTAGTTTTGCAGAAAAGTTTTGAAGGCAGAGACTTAAAAACGTTGGCTCTACTACATATGTGCCCACTCCACCGAGATTTTTGCTCTGACTACCAGGTCTGCCAGTTGTCTTACTGATATCCCAATAATAACGATATGTCAGTGTCTAGCTCCGAAAAAACTTGGAGGAAAATTTAAGTGTGGCCTCGGAGAACCGACATGCAAAGTACGTGGCACATTCAATGAATAGCGTTACTTTCTAGGGTGTCCTACTGCGTACTTTCAAATGCTGGGTTGTAGGGAGGGGTACAATCCTGTAACTTATGATGGGGAAGGAGTGCTGTACGACTCTATGCGTGAATAAAATAAAATTTAAAAAATCCCATTTCCGCATGGCTTCTGGCTTTCGTGACATGGCACTTATGGGATTGAATAATGCTATTCCAAAGCCGACATTAATGACTCCTCCTCCAGAATGCTTGTGCGGACATTTCCCTAGAGAAGAAGGATCCAGAAGAATTCTCCGTCGCATCGACCAGGTACGCAAGTTAAGGTCTTCCCACAAGTCCATTGTTCTCATTCAGGACAGAGAAGGAAGTAATCGAAGCTGGAACCTTTACTTGCACACAGTGTATCAAGCCCTGGCAATCATAGGAAGGTCAAAATCCGTCCTCTAATACTTCACGAGCAGCAAATCTGCCTCTTATTTAGAAGCAGGAAATAGACTCTGTGAAGTGAACGTCGGACGCAGCTATAGCAGCAGTTGACTTCGCTACTACTCCCAGCCCTCTCTGGGAAGGACGGAATATACTCAGCAAGGTAACCGAAGCTGCTCGAGCCCCTATCGGGGTGAGGATGAACACTCATCACACTTCTAGTCTTATGTAATCCGCCAGCCGCTGGCTTCCATTCTGCGGATGACTCATTCATGGTTCCACCCTTAACATAATCAAGAAGGCTTTACTTTATCCACTAATAGTATATTTATCTCCATATATTGTTGGCGTTTATCATTTCGGCCATTAGTCGCAACGAGACTGTTCATTTTGAGACTGCAGATCTTGCATGACACTTAGTTAAGTTAGCCTCACTTCTCATTAGCTTCCGGCCTGGGTAGAATAAACTGTAAGTTGTGGATTTCGACAGTGGTGATCTTCAGTATTGTTATGTTCGCTGCTATCGGGCTTTGTTCGCTTTGGCATTCAACATAACGCGTTAGTCAGTAATAGTGTAGGTTCGTTCTGCCGTCAAAGGAGGCTTTTAAATGAGAGCTGTTAAGCAGTTTCGCCGATCGGTAGTTGTGAGGAGCTTGATTTTGGCGGTTTGCTGGCTAAACTGTTAACGATTATTAGAATAAGCTGACGTAAAGGTCAGCTACAAGGTCAAGTACACAAGACAGCAGAAAAGTAGCGGGACCATTGCACTGAAATGGAGACGCAAACAGTAGAAAACACGTTAACTAATCAAATCGAAGATACAGCTGATTGGTCGGTTTCTACCAGTGTTCATAAATTGAGCCATTAGAGTTTGCGCACTAACTTAACTTTCCTCGTCCACAGTTTGTGAGCCACGTGCACTACTTTATTGGCCAACGGCATCGAACGCTAGTTTGAACTAACAGCTGTGCAGATCGATAATCCGTCTGGCAGTCAGCGCATAGTTGTCTGTCTGAGACAGACATCTTGGCTGCTTGTTTCGCAGGCACTCCTCGTAGACCTATGTGATCTACGATTTCCCAACATGACTAAGCAGCTTCTAGAATCAACTCCAACGACTAAAGAGGATATTCAACCTCTGTCGGAGATTATGTGCAACTGCGAGCTCTGCTACGCCCGTCTTTGCGTTTCCGCGAAACAGACGGTGGAAGACGAACCGACCTACGATCCGTGTCTGATGGATAGTTTTAATTTGCCTCTCCAGTGTAAGTCAAATATCTCTTGCATGCCCTTTCCGTGTGCATTCGCCGGCTGCCCCACGAGTAGAGACGTGTGCGTGCCGAAGAACTTTCAACTAACCCGGCTACCATACAATGCGGCAGGAATGGAGAATTTTCTACACGTGCATCCCACACCCGAATGGCTTCAACGCTACAAGATGGCAAGTCACATGGCCTGTGAAGGAGACTTTTGGATGACGGCAATGTCTCCCAGTCCACAACTCTATCTCTCCAAGGATTCCGTCCTCCATCTTCGAATTTCTGCCTATGTTGCCCTAGAACGATCAGGAACAGCGTTTCGCTTGATTAATTATCGCAACAACTCCGCACTCGCATTGAGCGAGAATGGAGAATATGGATTCGCGTATCATTACAATTGTCGGGGACTGATCAACATGCATCATGAGAAACTATCGATCACCTTCGACAAGGATAGACAGATCCTCTTGCGGACAGAGAAACCAAGTTTTGTGAAGAAGGAGAATGAATATTATAGGCTGACGTCACATCACTGGACCCAGTGCCGACCAGTTCTCATGGACTTCTTTGACCGCGACAAGACACCAGAAATTTTGAAGAAGTCGGGGCCTGACAAGGCTAACGACGAGGCCAAACTGACAGACCTTATAAATTCCTCAGTTATGCAAAAGGATGCCGGTGTGCTAACAAGTAAGTTGCTCTGGTTTTCAGAAGCAGTAAGATCCTCAGCGATTGCTTAGTTTATCTAGGAGATGCCCGAATCGAAACGCGATTAAACGGTGATGTCACTCTCTCATGGATGTACGGGGAAACTATAAACTCGCTGATGGTCTCCCCTCTCACGGGAGGCGTGAGCCTGTCTGCCAGAAACCTTGAGATCATTGCCACGGCAAAGAATGACATCTACATTGCTTTTGCAGACTTCTTCGTTCACACGAGGTAAGAGAAAGTCTCTGAGATGTATTCAGCTTTATAGCGATTTTACTTGAAGAATTTTCTGTTAATTTAAATCTAACGGGACTGTCCTATGATGCACTTTTAAGAGAAAGTCGAAAAATACCACGACATACGGACTAACATTTGAGAACATGATTGTTGACGTTTTTCCGCCACCTGAGGTAAACAAACTCCAGCCACCTGTAATACGATACCGGTAGTAAAGGGGACTTTTACAGGTGGAGTCGAGGAACGTACAGACGACGAAGTCAAGCAGTTGTATACAAAAAAGCTATTGGGGATGCGCGGTTGTACTTTGAATGGTTGGGAAGTAGTTACCCTAACCCCTAACCCTAACGCCTAACCCTGGCCCCTGACCCTAACCCGAGGCCCTTACCCCAGCCCTAGCCACAATTCTTACCTTAACCCTTTGACCCTAACCCTTAGCCGCAGACCTAAACCCTAACCCAAAAGCATTTTGTCAATCAGGCGGGGCTACATAACCACATCTTACTCGATTTTCCTGGTCATACTATAGAGTCTCGCCAAAGAACGGACGCAGTCGATTTAGACATTTTCAGCTGTGCTAGGCGCTAACGGTCGCCCAGCTGACAACAAGACCAACTTTACTAAGTGAATTATCGGAACTAGTTTGGCGACTTGAAGTTGCTACTGAAAACTACAAAGAAAGGCAAGACTGGAAACCGGTTGGTTTGCAAAAGTGCGAAAGAGGAGCCAGCAGGGTATCAGAACTGGTCTTCTCCATCTATTCGCCTGCCAGAATAGGTGTCAAATTTCTAGTGCTCGGTAACTATTAGGTTCGTGGTTTCTATGCCAAGAGGGACCACCTTCACTAGTCTCACCTACATTGTTCTAATACCTGCTGCGTTCCAAATTCCAACAGTAGTAGTTTATCGGTAGCTCATTAAAGTCAAGGCCATATTTTGAATGTCAGCGTATTCCCCTTCCCACCGGCCAACCAACTGTCCTGGTGTTTATGAGCCTTAGAGCGTCTTTCAGTTTATTCGCGAGGGTATCTTTGGGCCGTTCCCCTCCCTAAATAATGTAAATTCAACAGTCATCTTCCCTTTGAAGGTCCCTATTACCCTTCTTCAGGTGGACTTCATGCTCCCTTTATGGCCAAGGGTAGGGCTTAAACTACGGGTGCTGTACACAAGAAATGTCCGATTGCATTGTTCTGAAGGTTTGAATAGACCCTTCGGCATTGAGACAGGATTCTTGGGTAGAGACTGGACCTTATACTTGTCAGATGAGATGACGGATACATAGAAATGTCACCGAAAAAGCCAGTGAGACCTGAATGTTAATTTATGACCGGCCATACCTCAATCTCAGACTGAGACTACCATTTTTAACAGTACTTTTCTAGACAAAACTTTTGCATTGATGAGTATTCGTCGCCATGCCACCCCGTACGATCCAAAATAAAAAAAACGGAAATTCCCACCTCCTCTATGGTTGGTAAACGTCAGACCCAAGTCATTGTCGATGTAGATCAGCGATGTAAGGCAGTATCGCGGTAATCACAGATGCGTGCTGAAAAAACTTCAATTTATTAGGGTGTAGGGGGAATTCAACGAGACAGTTTCTGTTACTCACATAGTAAGCCCTCGCATAAGAACACATATTCACAATCCAACATTGTCCTGTTTCAGAACATCGAATATTTTTTTTGAAATCATTGACATTTTGATGGCTTTTGTATTTTATGGTTGATATTTTGAGTTGGGCCTTAGTATCTCGATTGTTACTAATCCTGAATTTTGTGGTAAAACACGGAGACTAAAAACACTCCTTGCCCGTTTTGATTATTCTTGAGATAGGTGGACCACCCACTACGCGAAGATGCGTAGTGTTTAAGGTGCCCACACTTGCGAACCAAAACTCTGCAGATTTAAGAGGTCTAACTTCGTCTTCTTGAGGCTGTATAGGATTTTAAAAAATCTCGATAGGAGATTGACGGAAAACCTGCGCTTGGATCCTCGTTACCACTCCTAGGCTCCGATGGGACGCAAGTATCGCTTGAAAGTTCCTTCTACGTACGCGTGTTTAACCTCGGGACCGGATGGACTTGTGATAGAGAGACGTTCACAGATTGGGTTACGGGACCCGTTCGTACCGTTGGGGCTTGGAGCCCAGTATAGAGTTTCCACAGGCAGTCGCTGGGCGACTTGTAAATATATGCAGAAGGGGACTACCACAAAAGACAAGGGAGACTGGAGTGGCCATTTCTGCCCTATTGGCAGTCATCAGCCACCCTTTCTCAACTCCAGGTTCGGGGGCACCTGCGGTTAATACGCCCGATCATAGCCGAGAGGACAAGATCCTCGTGGCTCAGTGGTTAGAGCGCTGGAGTTACTAGCACTTTATAACCAGGAGAACCTGCATCCGAACCTTGGCCCGATTCACTTGCAAGTCATGGTCATTACTGGAGATGGCCGTCGTTAAGAAATGCTCATTCGTTACCATAAGGTATGGGAGAAAAAACAGAAGGTCTAACCTGTCCGTTGCGCAAGGTTGGACAAAATCGATAACCACACTGAGCCACGAGAAATCATCGGAGACCTTGATCTGAAATTGCCTGGCAGAACTCATTATCTAGACCACTGAACATCCTAAATACACCCTCCGTGGCTCGCATATCCCGCCTTTGGCTTATTTCTTCTCGTCAGCTGGCTATATCAAACCTCAGGCTTGGTAGTGAATAAAAAGTCTTACGACTGAACTACGAACTGAAGATTTTTCAGCTGAAATCGGGATTGTTCGTAGTCGCATAAAGGTATCATCGTAGGTTTATGCGATTACAGGGCAAAATGCGGTCATTCTCTATGGCCGCGCAAATTTGGTCTGGAGTTCCCATCGACGGGCGAATAATATTGGGCTGTCCGTGATCGAGAGCCATTATTGACGAAGACTGGGAAGATTGGAAAGGCCATTTTCGAGCCACTGACCGCTGTTAGCCAGCAACAATACATTTCTAGGGCTGGAATACCCGAGAGCTTAACCAAACTCCAATTGAGCCTTAAGCAGCACCAGTGATTGCGAATTGGTTCACTCAGTGACTCTTGAAAATACTAATTCCGTTTTCTTCAGAAGCCAACAAATGACTGTTAGCAGCGGAGCCATTTCCAGTCGTGGTGCCTACTCAAAGAGTCATCCCTGTCTTCTAAAGCTGACAAGCACCACACCAGAAAACCAGATGTCCGACATTCGCCAGTTTTGCTCCTATATGTATAATGAGCACCACAGCCACCAAGGGGCCAACGCGGCCGCAGCTATGTCCGGTGGAGTTCACCGCCATGGAGGACATCATGAAGCAGGGACAGCACAGAGTGGTCAGTCCCAAGGTGAGACACCAACACCGTCTGCTGGTCGCCCCCTTGAAGACCAACGGCGATCGCGCCACAGCAGCGAGGACGTAGTCACACTTTCTGAATCGCCAGCCAAGGAGAACTCGTCCGCTGAGATGAGGAAGTAGGCGCACAACCTGTTCGTTTTTGACTTTTTGTGCTCTTCTTCCCCTCCATGCAAAAACGGTCTAGTGTAATTACCCAGCCAAACACACTGTGTTCAGTTCGAATACTACATTTGAACATTATTTCCCACCAATAAGCGAAACATGCTAGTACTCAGATGCTCGACCCGGTTTCGGCTTACTTTCACTGTTCAGTCAACCTACTTTCGCTCCACTTCTCTCCTTAACTTCTTCCAAATTCCGGCTCACACCCTCTCCAATGCTGCCTGAGTATCACTGAGCCGGCCCAACAAGGCACAACCTAATCACCAAACACCAATATTAAGGGATCGTTCGAAGTAGGGGTATTTTGGGTGGGGCGAATAAAAATAGCCGAAAAAATCCTGTATTAAAATATGCCAAAGTCCTGTAATCGCACAGTTTTTGTTAAAATCAATTAGGTACAATGGGCGCTCGAAAGTCCATCAATTAATTTCTAGGTCATAGCGCAACCATTAATTGCCGAATCGATCGGTCACAAGATCCACGAAAAACCAACTCTGCATACAAAGCCAACTCTACCCAAGCAGTAGGCGAGTAAAAAGGCGTGGAGCTAGCGGCAGCTCGTGACCATGCAAGTATAAGAGGGAGATGCAAAAATACAGACATGCCATGCTCGTATCGGCACTCGCAATCTAGTGCATTGTGAAAGAAACTGGGGGAAACTATGCGTATCTTCAGGAAGAACTACAAGCTAGGGATATAAGTGACCAAATTGGTGAATCAAACCAAGGCGGACAGATTCAAAACAAGCATTCATCTGAAGCCGACGTAGCATTTCCAAAAAGTGCCTTAAAATAATCCCAACGACGTTTTCCGACCTGTGGACTACAGGAGATGTCTCAATACAAGACCAAAACTTCGTTTTTATATTACAGGCATGAATGAAAAGCTGAGGTATAGAAATATTACAACAATATAATACACGGGAGAGGACTAACTTCTCACCCACCCACAAACTCAAACTACGCACACTTAGACGGCAGCCACGCGAAGGATAATAATGCAGCAGCACGAGCTACCCATCGGAAATAAGTAGCAAAAATGTTAACAAAAACTATAAGGAAGGGTAGCAATACTGCATTTACCTACTATTTTATTGCGCTGATTGTAAAGTCAAGAAAGTAGAAAATACCAAAATATAAACATCCACAAACTTGGAGAAGGCAACCGTGTTGTGACTTGCGCACTGGAATTACCTGTCCGATCACCTACTGCACCATATCTCAGAATGTGTCCTCTTGTTACATGATCATTATGAAATTGGGCGCGGACGGTGAAACTTCGCTCTTGAATGCCTAGCAGTCTTGTACAAGTCGAACGACTGGATTTACCAGAAACTGCAGGAGGTGTGGTCTTCTAACAGGGATTCTGCCAACAGGCGCATCAGTCTACCACTGGCCTATCAAACGCAGAAAAAGCAAAAGTGGTACGATTAAGGGTCATCCGGGCGGTGTTTTAATTTCAGCTGGGCTGTAAGTTCCCATTTGTTGTTGACGGTGGGGTCAGATGGAATTTGGAAACGGAGAACTACATTGTTGAACCCTAAAATCGCCTCTCCCTTTCCTAACTGAACACCTTGACTGCAATAACGGTACTTGCCGGTTGCGGAAAGTTGTCGCTTCACGAATGTTACAAAATTTGAACAAATCAGCTTAGTGGAAGTTTGTTAGACGTGAATAACTTTCGGCCTTATCAAGCTCTGGGCCGAGACGAAGTGAAGTAGCTAAGAGAATAACAGTATAAGACGCCGAAAAGATGAAATCTGGAGTCCCAGTCGCCGGTCTTATGAAGGGGATCAGAATGAAGTCTAACGATATGAGCTTTGAGGCAATCATTTAGAAATAATATTAAGGCCGATTTTACAACGACCACATAGATCAAACTGAGAAGATTTGAAATTTAAGGGTGCTGTTGGAGTTTTCTTCATCTATAACCGTTGTCCTGATGAAAATTAAGTCGTAATTTGTCATGAAAGTAAGCACAATGATAGCAAGGAGATTCTAAAGCCATTTAGGGACCACATCCCGTGAACTTTGTTGCGTGTTTTGCTAAGGACCGACCATGCTAAATCGATTTCTCTGATATCTTGCGATACGAAAGTAGTTTTTTTGAGTCACCGGTTTCGCCATACAACTTGAAAAAGGATCTCTGAAGGAAATAAGTAACAGAAGAGATTAACTAAACGCAGAAAGGTTACCTGGAATAAAGAAGAAGACTAACAAGCGACTAATTGTGACGTTTATTTATTTTAAATAAACCGAATAATAGAAATAGTTTGTCATATTTGAACCCCATTTGGGTTTTGCATGACACAGGGCACAAAGAGAAAACCAACTATGAATTAGTAGGAGTGGATGACTTACTGTCAAAAAAGGATATAGAGATGTAAAAAATCAAGGGTCAGATAGACGACCAATCATAAATGGTGCATTTAAGAGCCGAGACCACAGTGGGCATATTAAATGGGCGCAAGATCTCCAGTACGACATCATTTATCACGAAGGTACATATTTTAACCGTGTACGGTGCAAGAGCTATTGTAGTGGTTGGTGGACGCGTAGGTCGGGGATTACTTGGATTTCGTGTGTGTGGTACGAAATCAGTTGATCAGTGCGACTGCTTTTACTGATTGACATGGCTTTACGAGCGTAGCTAACAAGTGCAGTCGCAGGAGGATCGGTCTGGCGAATCAACTAAATACCGACAGAACGGCGGGCCGATG